CTTTCTCTGGTGGCTGGTAGGCTACTGGTTTTCACTATGATTTGGGGGACTGTTGGTTTACAAAGCTCCCAGAAGCTAGGGAGAGGGAGGTAAAATAAGGCAAGTTAAGGATACTATATGGGGTGTGTGTGTGTGTGTGTGTGTGTGTGCATGGGTGGCTCAGTCAATTAAGCATCCAGGTCTTGGTTTTGGCTTAGATCATGATCTCATGGGTCTGGAGATCAAGGTGCCCCACCCTCACCCCCATGGGGCTTGGAGCTCAGTGGGGAGTCTGCTTGAAGATTCTCTCCCTCTGCCTCTCCACCCACTCATGCACTCTTGCACACACACTCTCTCTCAAATAAATAATAAGTCTTTAAAAAAAAGAATACTGGGCGCCTGGGTGGCTCAGTTGGTTAAGTGACTGCCTTCGGCTCAGGTCATGATCCTGGAGTCCCTGGATCGAGTCCCGCATCGGGCTCCCTGCTCGGCAGGGAGCCTGCTTCTCCCTCTGACCCTCCCCCCTCTCATGTGCTCTCTCTCTCTCTCATTCTCTCTGTCTCAAATAAATAAATAAATCTTTAAAAAAAAAAATAAATAAATAAAAAAATAAAAAAAAAATAAAAAAAAGAATACTATATGGGTAGGAGTGAGTGGCTGGCTCCATCAATAGAACATGTGACTCTTGATCTTAGAGTTCATGAGTTCAAGCTGCATGTTGGGTGTAGAGCTTACATTAAAAAAAAATACCATATGGGTCATATGATTTATGTTTTAACTCTTTAAAGAACTGCTAAATTGTTTTCCAAAGTGGCTGTATTATTTTACATCCCCACTAACAATGCATTCCAGTTTTCCACTTCCTCCTCAATATTTGTTTATTGTCATTTTGGTTGTGGCAATTCTAGTGGGTGTGAAATGGTACCTTTTTTTTTTTTTCCCTGAGAACTAGAACTGTCTTTATTTACAGATGATATGATCATCTATGTAGAAAATCCTATGGGATCTGCAACAAAATTAATAGAACTAATTTCTAAGTTTATCAAGGTTGTGGGATTTAAGATCTATATATCAAAATTAATTGCATATATCAAAATTAATTATAATTTTATATACTGGCAATCAACAATCAGAAATTGAAAATAGGGGCGCTGGGTGGTTCAGTTGGTTAAGCATCTGCCTTCAGCTCAGGTCATGATCCTGGGGTCCTGGGATCAAGCCCCACGTCAGGCTCCCTGCTCAGCGGGGAGCCTGTTTCTCCCTCTCCCTCTGCCCCTCACCATGCTTGTGCTCTCTCTCTCCCTCTCTCTCTGTCAAATAAATAAATCTTTTTTTTTTTTAAGAATTTAGTTATTTGCGAGAGAGAGAATGAGAGACAGGGAGCATGAAAAGGAGGAGGGTCAGAGGGAGAAGCAGACTCCCCGCTGAGCAGGGAGCCTGATGCGGGACTCCATCCCGGGACTCCAGGATCATGACCTGAGCCGAAGGCAGTCGCTTAACCAACTGAGCCACCCAGGCACCCAATAAATAAAATCTTAAAAGAAAAAGAAATTGAAATAAAAAATACCATTAAACAGGGGCACCTGACTGGCTCAGTCAGTAGAGCGTGTGACTCTTGATCTCAGGGTTCTGAGTTCAAGCCCCAGGTTGAGTGAAAAGATTACTTAAAAATAAAATCTTTCTTTCTTTCTTTTTTTTAAAAAAAGATCTTATTTATCTATTTATTTGAGAGAAAGAGAGGGAGAGAGTGAGCATGAGCGGGGTGAGAGGCAGGCTCTCCGCTGAGCAGAGAGCCCAATGTTGGGCTTGATCCCTGGACTCTGGGATTATGACCTGAGCTGAAGGCAGATGCTTAACCAAATGAGCCACCCAGGTGCTCCTTTTCTTTCTTTCTTTCTTTTTTTTTTTTTAACATTTATTATTTATTTTAGAGAGAGAGAGAGCATGCACATGGGGAGGGGAGGAGCAGAGGAGGAGGGAGGGAGAAAGCTTGATCCCATGACCCTGAGATCACGACCTAAGCCAAAAGCAAGAGTGGACACTTAACCAACTGAGCCACCCATGCGCCCCAAAAATAAAATCTTAAAACATTAAACAGCTTTATTTTTATTTTTTTAAGATTTTATTTATTTATTCATGAGAGAGAGAGAGGCAGAGGCAAGAGAGAAGCAGGCTCCCTGTGGAGCCTGATGTGGGACTCGATCCCAGGACCCCAGGATCATGACCTGAGCCGAAGGCAGATGCTTAACCAACTGAGCCACCCAGGCACCCTAAACAGCTTTAAATATAAGAAATATTTAGGGAGAATCTGACAAAAGATGTATAAGACCTATAAACCAAAAACTACTAAACATTGAGAGAAATTAAAGACATAAACAAATGGAAAGAAATACTGTTATTTATGGAGGTCAAAGTGTGATAGTGGAAGACGAAGGAGGATGTAGTCAAACATAGAGTTTTACAAAGTTGGGATTTAGAAAGGGCTTTGTTCTCAAGGATAACAAAATTCCACATATAGTCATGGTGTTAGTTATGGAAAAGAATGAAAATACTAGGGTATCAGCTGGGTGGAGCTTTCTGCCTTGTGTTTAAAGGACTGAGAAGGAGAACAATGGATGTGTGGTGGGCAGAATTCGTGAAGTGGTATCTGGATGTGCTTTTTTCTATGTCAGTGTTTGCTCATGTTATATCCTTAGATCTTGGTATAGTGCCTAGCATATAGTAGTCATTCAATAAAAGTTGTAGAAATAAGGAAGGATTAATACAGCTTTATGGATGGCACACTTAAGGTGACTCATTACCCCAAGTTAATATTTTGGCCATTTATGTAGGGAGACTGAGGCAGAACACAAGCCAATCCCAAAGACTTATAGCAGTAAGTTGTATAAACAAGGAAAGATCTTAGATTTCTGTCACAGAGATATTTTCACTTGTGCTATGACACTTTGTAGGTGATGAGAATATGCTTCATTTCATAAAATTTTTAAATGCTTTCTTTGTTTTAGGCACTGTATTGGTCACTGGGGCTGTAGCTTGAACAAGACAGACATACCTCTTGCCCTTGTGGAGTTTCCAGTCTAGTGGGAGTTACAAACAAGTAAACAGGCAATTAATAATATGGCATGACAAATAATGTGATGGGGGAAGTGCAGAATGATGTGAGACCATATACAAGGAACATCTAATATAAATATCTAAGCTAAGGCCTAAGGAAATAGTTGGCCAGGCAAAGTGTTCTAGGCGTTGGAACAGCATCAGCAAATGAACAGAGATGAGACAAACCTTAGAAAATTGGGAAATATCCTATAGGCTAGGGAAGGGAGGTGGAGAAAGTGAGCAAAGGCCAAATTCTACAAGGCCTTACAAGCCATTTTTGGGAGTTTCAAATTTGTCCTGTGGGATGGGGAATCCTTGAAGGATGTTAAGCAGAGAAGTGACATGATCACACATGTGATTTTTTTTTAAGTTTTAAATTTTTTTGTAACCACGACACACAGTGTAGGGCTCAAACCCATGATCCTGAGATCAAGAGTCACATGCTCTCCCAACTCAGCCAACCAGGTGCCACACCCACGTGATTTTAAAATAGTATTGTGACTTCCTTTTGTGGACAGTGGGTTGGAGGGCATCAGAATGAATTCAGGGAGACGAGTTGGCAATGTAGTCATTTTGGTGAGAGAGTTGAGGGGACTTGAACTAGGGACAAAAGTGTGTATGGAAGCTGAAGGAGAAAGATACCTTGGTTTCTGGCTTGAGCCATGGGGTCAATGTTTGTTCTATCCGCTGAGCTAAGGGACTGTTGAGAGCAAATAGGTTTGGGGGAGAAGATGAATTCAGTTTTGGATTTGCTAAGTTTGAGGGGTGTCTGGGTCAGCCTTGTTGGACTTCTTGTGGACTTCTACTCCTTGTGGAAATCAGGAGAGACATCTTGGTTAGAGATAGAAATTTGGAAATCATCTGTATATTGTTACTTACTAAAGCTGGAAAAGTAGATGAGATTGAGATGGAGCAGCCAAAAGGTGAGAAGAAAGCTAAGAGAGTATGGTTTCCCCATAACAAGTGAAGGAAGTGGTAAAAACAAAAACAAATGAGTAGATGTGTTTTCCCGGGGAACATGATGTATGAAAAGAGAAAACCTGAGACCAGAATCCTACTTTTAAGAGACAAATAGGGAAAGAGGAAATGCCACAGAAATAGAAGGGACTGGGAGAATTTTAGGTCCCAGAAATCAGGAAGGGAGGAGTAGTTGGCAACATTTTTACACTAATATATCAAGTAAGATGTGTATTGAGTGGTGTATATTGGATGCAGCAACAATGAAGTTCATGATGACTCTGGTTTGAGGCAGTCTAATGGAATGTAGAAGCAAAAGATAGATTATATTACTTTAAGGAGTGAATAAGTGGTGAGAAGGAGAAGATTTAGTAAAGATAATGTCTTCAAGAGGTTTAGCTGTAAAGGCATGAGAGAAAGGGCAGTTATATCTAGAATGACATGGGGTTAAAGGAAATCATTGTTTTTCGTTAAGTTCTTTTGATTTCTTTTTGGGATCGTGATTTACCTTTTTAGTATTATTTTGTTTTCTTGGCTCCATTTCATTTTTTTTAAAAAAGATTTTATTTATTGAGAGAGAGAGAGCAAGTGAGAGAGCACGGGTGGGGGGAGTGGGGGGCAGAGCAGAGGGAGAGGGACAAACAGACTCTGCGCTGAGCGTGGAGCCTGATGCAGGGCTTGATCCCACAACCTTGAGATTGTGACCTGAGCCAAAATCAAGAGGTGGAGTCTCAACTGACTGAGCAACCCAGGTGCCCCTGGCTTCATTTCATTCTGAGATGATGGATGGGGCAAGAATTGAAAATATGTAACTATTTAGCTTTTGCTTTGTGTAGTTAATCCTTTGCATATGGTAAGAAAATAGCTTTACTATCTTAATTAGCTAGATTTTCTCTATATAATTTTTGAGCGATCCTCTAGATAATAAAACCTCATTTTAATCTATTGCATCTTCTGTTTGATTTTAGATCATTCATCGAGATATAAAACCTGAGAATATTTTAGTATCCCAGTCAGGAATTACTAAGCTCTGTGATTTTGGTTTTGCACGAACTCTAGCAGCTCCGGGGGACATTTATACGGATTATGTGGCCACACGCTGGTATAGAGCTCCAGAATTAGTACTAAAAGATACCTCTTATGGAAAGTATGTATATTTTGGGATCCTTTCTGGCCTTTCCTGGTCATCTCTTTTTTCCCTTTGTGTATCTGTCCCCCCTACCACTAATACCCTCTGCTCTCTGCTTCTGGGTTAGGAATAAGAAAGGGATGCCTCTAAAAAAAAGAGAGACCCTCTAGGCACCTGTCTTGCTACATAATGATGTTACCATGCCTACACTGTACTGTTGAGGGGCCCCAACCTCAGGTGACCTTTGCAGACATCTTTCAGGCTGTATCCATGCTTGCTTTAAGCTGTGCCCCACCCTTGGCAGAGTTGTCTCCTCTGCTTATCTTTAGCCTCTACATTCTGCAGAGATTTAAAAATCATTTACCTCACTCTGCCAGTGTTACCATAGGAACTGCCAAGTTTCCTATTTTCTGGAATATGGCACCCTCTTTACAAAGTCTGGCAAATAATTTTAGAAGATTTTATTTATTTATTTATTTGAGAGAGAGAATGAGAGAGAGCACAAGAGGGGAATGGGTCAGAGGGAGAAGCAGACTCCCCACTGGACAGGGAACCCAGTGCAGGACTCAATCCAGGGACTCCAGGATCAAGAACTGAGCCAAAGGCAGTCGCTTAACCAACTGAGCCACCTAGGTGCCCTGGCAAATAATTTTTAAATTGTGCTGCTCTAGATGCCTTAAAAAGTAGCATGGTATCAGTCTATTGTGAAACCATAGAAACAGTATATGAAACTGCAATCTAATATACAAATAGCAAATCTTAAAGGGACCAAGTGGTCCAACTTAACACAAAAAATGGGGGGATGGTGGATAATTCTCACACACTTTTCCTAGAAACCATTATTCTGTTTTTACAATAATATCTAATTCCAGGGGCACCTGGGTGGCTCAGTCATTAAGCGTCTGCCTTCGGCTCAGGTCATGGTCCCAGGGTCCTGGGATTGAGCCCCGCATCGGGCTCCCTGCTCAGCAGGGAGTCTGCTTCTCCCTCTCCCACTCCCCCTGCTTGTGTTCCTTCTCTCACTGTGTCTCTCTCTGCCAAATAAATAAATAAAATCTTTTTAAAATAATAAAAAATTATGAATTCAGTTATTAATTTTTTATTTGAAAATAGTTGACACACAATATTACATTAGCTTCAGGTGTACAACATAACAATTCAACATCTTTTTTACATTGTGCTATGATCATTACAAATGTAGCTACCATTTTTTGCCTTATAATACTATTATAGTATCACCGACTATATCCCCTATGTTGTACCTTTTATTCCCATGACTTATTAATTCCGTAACTGGAAGTCTGTATCTCCCACTCCCCTTCACCCATTTTGCCCATCCCCGTCATCCCCATTTAAAATAAGAGGTTACTAAGGCACAGAAAGGTAAACTCATTTGCCCCAAGTCACTCCAGAGCACCTTTTCAACTGTACTTACCACTGATGCCCTACACAGACCATCTCTATGCCTCCGTTAACTTTATCTGTGTAATGGAAATAATAATAGGACCAGCTTCATCGGTTTGTTGTGAGAATCAAATGATTTAATGAATGAAAAAGATTAGAATATAGTAAATGCTCAAAAATGTAGCCTCCATAAGATCTGTCCTAATTTTACCCTCTCTTCATGATAGAGCTTAAATTTCTTTTCTGATGCTCCCCCTATTTTCCGATCCTTGCCCCCGAATCATATCCCCTTCTAAACCCTTTTGTTCATTATTTGCAGATTTTATGCCATTTAATATTTAATATGGCTTATTTCTAGTTCTTTAAAAAAAATACTTCATGGGGCGCCTGGGTGGCTCAGTCATTAAGCGTCTGCCTTCTCAGCGGGGAGCCTGCTTCTCCCTCTCCCACTCTCCCTGCTTGTGTTCCCTCTCTTGCTGTGTCTCTCTCTGTCAAATAAATGAATAAAATTTTTTAAAATAAACAAATAAATACTTCCTGCTTAAAGATATGTTCTTTGAGAACAGATATAATCTCTTGTAGTCCACAGAGACAAAATTGGTAACTCGCACATGGTAAATTTGGACTCTGTGAGACTTCACATTACGTTTGAAATAAATTTGCTAGTGCGTGTTTTAAAAAAAAAAAATCCTTTTATTGTTGAACAACACAGAGACCCAAAAAAAGCTCGCACAATGAATGTATAGCTTCGCTACCAGATCAAAAAATAGAATTTTGGGGCGGAGGGATGGGTTAAATAGGTGAAGGGGATTAAGAAATATCATAATGAGCAATGAGTAGTGCATAGAATCATTGAATCATATTATATGCTTGAAACTAATATAACACTTTACATTAATTATACTTGAATTAAAAAAATAGAATTTTGCTGCCCCTTCAAAGACGCTCATGTGCCCTATTCCAATTATATTGTTCTCCCTGATCCCAAAAGTGACCATGATATTGACTTTTTTTTTTAAAGATTTTGTTTTATTTATTTGAGAGAGAGAGAATGAGAGACAGTATGAGAAGGAGGAAGGTCAGAGGGAAAAGCAGACTCCCTGCTGAGCAGGGAGCCCGATGCGGGACTCGATCCCGGGACTCCAGGATCATGACCTGAGCCGAAGGCAGTCGCTTAACCAACTGAGCCACCCAGGCGCCTGATATTGATTTTTATTATATTCAGTTGATTATATTTCTTTATAGTTTTATCTACTTATCTAAGTACATGCACTTAGTTTGATCTAGCCTTTTTTAAATGATAGCTTTTTTGAGATATGATTCACATACCATAAAAATCACCCATTTAAATTGTATAATTCAGTGGTTTTTAGTATATTCACAAAGTTGTAAAATCATCACTACATTCAATTTTAGAACATTTTCATCACCCCAAAAGAAACCCTATATCCATTGGCAGTCACTCTCCCTTTCCTGCCAAGCTTTCCAGGCCTAGCAACCACCAGGCTACTTTCAATTCTCTATGGATTTGCCTATTCTGGACATTTCATATAAATGAGATTAAGCAAGATCTGTTTTTTGGGGACTGACTTCTCTCACTTTGAATATTGTTTTCAAAGGTCATCCATGTTGTAGCATGTATCAGTACTCATTTCTTTTTATGACTGAATAATATCCATTCTATGGATATACCACATTTTATCTATCTAATTTTTAGTTGATAGACATCTTGATTGTTTCCACTTTTCGGCTATGATGAATAATGTGAACATTCGTGTACATGTTTCAGTGTGGACATGTGTCTTCATTTCTTTGGGTTTCATACCTGGGAGGTGGAATTGTGGGTGGCAACTCTATGTTTGATCCTTTGAGGAACTGCCAGATTTGTTTCCATAGTGTCTGTATTGTTTTACATTCCTGCCAGCAGAATGTAGGGACTACGATTTCTTCATATCCTTGCCAACACTTATTATTATCATTTTTTATGGCCACCCTAGACTTTCTCCTCTACCCCCCAGGCATTCTTTTTTTTTTTTAAGATTTTATTTATTGGGGCGCCTGAGTGGCTCAGTCGTTAAGCGTCTGCTTTTGGCTCAGGTCATAATCCCAGGGTCCTGGGATCGAGCCCCACATCGGGCTCCCTACTCAGCGGGAAGCCGGCTTCTCCCTCTCCCACTCCCCTTGCTTGTGTTCCCTCTCTTGCTGTGTCTCTCTCTGTCAAATAAATAAATAAAATCTTTTTTTTTAAGACTTTATTTATTTATTTGACAGAGAGAGAGACAGCGGGAGAGGAACACAAGCAGGAAGATTTCATTTATTTATTTGACAGAGAGACACAGTGAGAGAGGGAAAGCAAGCAGGAGGAGTGGGAGAAGGAGAAGCAGACTTCCCGCTGAGCAGGGAGCCCGATGTGGGGCTCGATCCCAGGACCCTGGGACCATGACCTGAGCCAAAGGCAGACACTTAACGACTGAGCCACCCAGGCGCCCCAGGCATTCTTTTTTAAATAGGCTTTTTAGGGGCACCTGGGTGGCTCAGTTGGTTAAGCGTCTGCCTTTGGCTCAGGTCATGGTCCCAGGGTCCTGGGATCAAGCCCCGCATTGGGCTCCCGGCTCAGCAGGGAGTCTGCTTCTCCCTCTCTCTCTTTGCCCCTCCCTCCCACTTGTGCTCTCTCTCTTTCTCTCTCTCTCTCTCGCTCACTCTCTCTCTCAAATAAATAAATAAAATCTTTAAAAGATATGCTTTTATTTTGGAATAATTCTACATTTATAGAAAAGCTGCAGACATAATACAGAGAGTTCCCATACAGCCCTCACCCAATTTCTGCTTCTCCTAACGTCATAATCTTACATTACTGTGGTATATTTGTTAAAACTAGTCTTGCTTTTTTATGTAAATAAGATCTGATATGTTTTTATTTATTTATTTATTTATTTTTAGATTTTATTTATTTATTTTTGTGAGAGAGAGAGAGAAAGAGCGCGTACAAGAGAAAGCAAACGTGAGTGGGGGTAGGGGTAGAGGGAGAAGCAAACTCACTGCTGAGCAGGGAGCCTGATGCAGGACTCCATCCCAGGACCCTGGGATCATGACTGAGCCCAAGGCAGACGTTTAACCAACTGAGCCACCCAGGCGCCCCAAGATCTGATACGTTTTTAAAGTCTCTTTTAAACTACAGTAATTTCCTCTATCCCTTTATTTTTCTTAAGACTTATCTGTTGAAGAATCCAGACCACTGAGTTTCTAAGTCTGAATTTTGTTGATTGCATACTCGCAGTGGAGTTCAACATGTTTCTTTGTCCTTTATATTTTGTGCAAATTGGCACCTGGGTCCAGATGTTGGGTTAGTCTGAGGTTCAGTCTATTTTGCAAGATTATAGGCAGTATTGTCTTCTTGAGTTAGGAGAGACATAAGTCTGAATGTCTCTTTCTGTGACGTTAGTAGCCACTGATGCTTAATGGCTAGATCTGTCAATTCATTGGGATTTGCAAATGGTGGTATTTTAATTTTATCTTCTCTTCTTATTACTTATAATACTTTTGGGTGAAGGGTATTAAGGAGGGCACTTTTTGTGATGAGCAGTGGGTCTTGTATGTAAGTGATGAATCACTGA